GGCTGAGGCGGCGTGGAGGGGGGAGAGGGGAGCGTTAAAGCGCCGTGGTGGTGAGCGACTGCTGGAGAATGAGGAAATGGTGCTTGTCCTTCTCAGGTAAATGCTGGGGAAGAAAAAAAGGCAGATTGCGGAAAGAAGAAAATGAAGGAAGGGGCCGGCGATGGAGGGCGGACGGAGGTGAGCTGCCCTTGGCCCGCGGGGGGTCGAAAGATACGGTCTCTTGGTTGCTGTCCTGTGTACTGCTGGCATCGCAGCGGTTCATCCCTATGAAGTATTTTATCTGGTGTTACTGTTACTCCTTTTCCCACTCTCTCTTACTTCCCGAACTTTGCCATGAGGTGTCTTTGTTGCTTTTTACACCAAGTTGTATTGGTGTAATGGGAAAGCAGCTCATATTTCCATAGTTGCTGTTCGATGACGCTTTTCACTGTGCAGTTTGCACCAGGAGGGGGGCAGCAGATCTCTGGAATGGGGAAAGCCTGCGTAAGGTGCTCTGTCCTTTCTGTCTTCACAGTGGGTACACACAGGCCCCTCTGACAGCACATAGTGGGCCAGCTGCTAGCCAGCACTAATCCTGAGCCCGCTGCAGAGCTGCATAACCTTGGCTGTGTCCCAGCCGAGAGCCCTGAACGTCAGTATGTGAGGTGTAGGCTGGAGTCAGTTCCTGCCTAGGTGGCTCAGAGTAGAGGTGTTCCCACAGTTTTTTGACCTAATAGGAAAAATCTGTTTTTATGTTGAACTTCTGCAGTCTTTTCAAATTTATTTTTGTCCTTTTGTAGCTCATTAAACAGGTCTTTAATAAACTGTAGTAGCTTATTAATGTATGTGTAGTTTATTAAACACAGATGTACAGTCGTGCATTTCAAAGTGATTTTATTAAGCTGAAGTTTTACTACTATGTAATTAATACTATCTAATTAATCTGTAATAATGATTATTTGTTAGATATAGCACATATATAGATAGGGACACATACCTGCTTGTGAAACGTATATCCATTCTGTTTGCATTCTTGGCATCAAGTGATATTAGATTAATAATATATTGACTTTTTTCCCCCCTTTCTCTTTATTCATTATCTATAGCTGAATCCCTGGCCTGCATTTATCAATGAGCGTTTAGAGATGTACAATAAACTTAAAGCTGAACATGATGCACTCCTTGCAGAAAGAGCGGCAAGTAACAGTAAACCCATTAAAGTCACATTACCCGATGGCAAACAGGTTGATGCTGAATCTTGGAAGACTACACCTTATCAAATTGCTTGTGGAATTAGGTATGATTCTGTTCTGTGATACACTCGATCATTTTCAGGCAGCTCTGTCTGCAGGTTGTGGCTGTGAGGGTATGGGTAATGTTCTCTCTTAGTCATTTATCTCAGCTCTTCTCAAGGCATCTTGTATGTAATAAACTGGAGGTAGCCAATAGGGCTTTAGGTTTGGAGTACAATTTTTTATAAGGATACAGTTTCTAAAATTAAATAAGAATATAGTTGAGATCTTTTAGACACACATTGCTTACATGTTTTTCCCCGCAAGTACTCTTGTTGCATTAAGAACTGATCTGCTAATAAATTTATCAGATTGAATGTTAGCACATGCAGACCAGTTTCCATCGACTTGAGGAAGAGGTTTCAATTGTTTTCAGAGAGAGTTAAAAGTATAAATATCTTTCACCTAACTGCAAAAGAGCATTGCATATCTCTGGGTTACTCAGACTTGTGTAGTAGTTTTGAGCAATGCACACTGAACACCCTGACATTTAAAATTACAAACGCTAGCTGATTCCTAGAGGCAAGATGCCATTTTTTTTATGTGTAGGTACCTTGTTATTGGAACCTTCTTCGCTGTTGTGATTTGGGATCAAGGAAGGGTTTGGGTTTTTTTGCCCAATGGAAACAAATTTGTAAAGTTACTACGTCAGAAATGGTATTTGATAATTTTTAAAAGAGAAGCTTTGTCTTACTGCAATAGGATTTTTGAAGTCAGGTTAGTACTTTAAAGTTGCTGCCTCTAAGTTAAATATGTTAATGAGTGTATGAATGTGAATATGCAGCACAGTTTTCTTCCCTCATCTCAGAGATGTGAGTAGGATTTTCATAAATGTTCAAGACTGGCTAAACTGCTCTTTTACTTGGAATTTACTCATGACATTGTACGCACTCTGAGCACTCCTGAAAATCTTATTCAACATGAAGGGCAAACTTGGAGAATTTCTACTTGCTGATTTCAAAATATTATATACTGTGTATTTATTCTGTAGTCAGGGCTTAGCTGACAACACTGTTATTGCTAAAGTGAACAAGATGGTTTGGGATCTAGACCGTCCTTTGGAGGAGGATTGCACCCTGGAGCTGCTTAAGTTTGAAGATGAAGAGGCTCAGGCAGTGAGTATCTTCTACCAAAATTTAATTGCCCTTGGATTTGCATGAAACTCAGCCTCAGGTAGTTACTTGCATCTTTGCTGTGTTCAAAAGATGAGGAGACGGGTTTTCAGTGTAGATATGTCTGCATTTTCTCGTAGTTCCTTACAAGGGAGATATGGTATTGCAGATAATGTACATTCTGCGCTGTATCTGTAGCCAAGTCTGCTAGCAGTTTTTCATAATTTATGTCAAATCTGTTCTTGTTTAAAATTTTATATTTGTAATCTTCATGTTAATGTAAAGTAGGTCTTTTGAACTGACCTCTTCAGAACTGACTTTGAAAATAATACTGAGTATAAAAGTACTGAGTGTGCTGCACTTTCACTTTGTACATGCAGAAGTATGTACTTTATTGTGGCTATTTGTAAATACTGTCGTTAGAAAAAGTAATTTGGTACAAGAAGCTGCCAGTCAAACTCAGCACAGAGGTCTTGCATGCTAACTTAGGGTTTTCCTATTAGCTAAATGATGGCTCATGTGAGATTTATGTTTTCTCTTCTGTGAAAATAAAAGCAAACTAAAGTCCTGTAGACTTTATTTTAATTTGTCAGAACTTCAGGTGTACTACAACATGGAGTGTAATTTTTAATTTTATGAACTGTTCTAGTTCAGTGTAGGATTTCCCATGCTTCAGGTTTTTTTATTAGGACCACAGCCTTAAGTTGAAAGTGCAGCTTTTGGTCTTTATGCAGAGCTGATTGATGGATGTTTGTAGAAAAAAGTTTCTGAATTAGCTTCCTGACTTCTTGACAGTAATTGAATCATTTCAACAATAGTTGAAAATAAGAATTACTTGCGATCAGGCTGTAAACAATTTTCCAGTGTTACCTTTTGGAAATAGTGGTGCTTAGGATGAGGATGTTGTGGGCAGGTCACTTCTGTTCCGCAAACTGCTCTAATGTGGAAATGCATCAAGTATCCTTGAAAGCAAGCATTTCAGAAAAGGTTTTGAATAAAATACTCAAATGCTTTGTGCGTATTCAGGCTGATCCCCTCTTTTTTTTTTTACTTCCATTAGGTATACTGGCACTCAAGTGCTCACATAATGGGTGAAGCTATGGAACGAATCTATGGTGGCTGTTTGTGCTATGGCCCACCAATAGAAAATGGATTTTATTATGACATGTTCCTTGAGGAAGGGTAGGTTTTGTATTTTTATTTTCAGGAGTGGGGGGATGGCAGTCATGTTAAAAATTCTCATATCTGCTTGTTCCTGGGACAAAGAAATCTGCAGTACTGCAGATTGCGTTTTTCTTTGCAGTGTGTCCCATCCACAAGCTTACATTGCAATTGGATCAGAAATTGCAAGTGGAAGCAAGAATGATTAACTTCTTTGTGTGTGTTTATTTTAGGGGTGTATCGAGTAATGACTTCTCTGCTTTGGAAACATTATGCAAAAAGATAATGAAGGAAAAACAGGCCTTTGAAAGACTGGAAGTTAAGAAGGAAACATTACTTGAAATGTTTAAGGTACGCTGTTCTAGAAGGTTTTTTCTAGCATTGTGCAGTTATTCTTTAAGTATTTGTAACTTTAGCTCTGTGTTCTGTCAGTAGTAGAGAAAGGTCTGTCAGCTTTTTAAGGTAATATATTCTTCTGGGCTCATTTGTGATATTTAACAAAGAATGAGTGAAGGCGTAATTCTTAGATTCTCGGGAACGTGCATTAGATTTTCTGCAATAGTGAGAATTCTCATTCTTTTTCCTGGGTGACCTTGACAAAATCTTTAAAGCCACATTCTTTCTTTATTTCCCACAGATTTAAGTTTGCAATATATTATGTTCAATTTTATTATATGCCTTTGATATATTTACTGTAAGTAAAATGCTGTGGCAATACTGTAACTGCGTGTGCTGATACGTTCAGAAAGCTTCATAAAACATTTTTTAGAATGAGGTCTTCTGGGAAAGTCTAAGCCACACTAAAACCTGATTCTTTCTCTTTAGTATCTAGCTGCAAATAATTTTCTGGCATACTTCCTGAGATAGATGTTACTCAGTTTTCACTGTTAGGACATTAAGAGAGTCAGTGTCTTTCAGGCAGGAAGGCACCTCTGTAGGTCTCCAGTCCAATCTCTTGCACAGGACATGAGGTCAACACTGAAGTCAGACAAAGTTTCTCAGGGCTTGTCCAGTTGGGCCTTCAAAACCTTGAAGTTTGGAGACTATACAACGTGCTCTCTTGGCCGCTTGTTCCACTGCTTGGTTATCTTTCTGTCTGTCATGTCTGTCTTTTATAGTCTTTTGATGCAGCGTAGCATAAGGTTTACAAATAATTTAAACTGCTGGCCAGTTCTCTTGCTTAGCAAGGACTTAACAAATATGTGTGTTACTTTTATTCTCAGTATAACAAATTCAAGTGTCGCATCCTGAATGAGAAGGTCAATACTCCAACTACAACAGTATACAGGTAATGACACATGCACTGTAATATTACTGGATTTAACTTTCTAGGATGAAATACACTAAATGAATGGTTTTCTCTTCTTAGGTGTGGTCCCTTGATAGATTTATGCAGAGGGCCTCATGTCAGACATACTGGCAAGATAAAGACTATAAAAATTCATAAGGTAAGAGCTGAAACTGCTTTAGACAAATGTTTTAATTGAAAACACGTTGCTGTCCTTGGGCAATAAGATGGTGGCTTATCGAGAATGTACCACAAAATGGGTAACCTGGCCAAAACCTCAGTGTAACAAATTGAGAAAGTGTTATGTGCTAGAATGATATTCAGATGGTGTAAGCCCAGATAAGTGGCCAGGACCTGCACTTCCAGCACAGACAGGAGCATGAGTGTGGCTTAAGGCTTGGTTGAACTGTATCAGTTAGAGTTTGTAGTTTTTACTCAGCTTATTGTTATAGCTGAGTGTGAATAAACAGTTGGCATAGGATGACTACAAAGAGAGCAAATAGGCTCAAAAAGAAGATGAGAGAGCTTGAAAACATTTTTACATATTCTGTTCACCTGTTCTTTCTGTATTTTTCTAATGAGTGCTCTGAATTTAACATGAAAATTCTCCTTATGCCTTAGTTGTTCTACTTTAAGTACAGTGTTTTATGAATAACTGCATGACTTTTCGTAGCAGTCAGTAGTAGTGAAATACAGAGGCTCCTCCTTTTCTTCATTGTTTCATTTATTTTTTGAATGCAGAATTCTTCTACCTATTGGGAAGGCAAGGCTGATATGGAATCCCTCCAGAGGATCTATGGCATTTCATTCCCAGATACAAAAATGCTGAAGGAATGGGAGAAATTTCAGGAGGAGGCTAAAAGCAGAGATCACAGGAAAATTGGGCGGGTGAGACAGTTTTTCTGGTACTGTATTTCACAGACACTGTATATCTAACCCCTTAACTAGAAGCATTTAGAAGACAGCGTATACATGCTGCCACAACCAAGATGTGACACAATTTTATTTTCAGTCAGGTTGCAAAGTCAGTTACTTTTCTCTTGAAGAGCATTAAAAGTCTTAAAGCAAATTACTTCTCTTTAGACTTTTCACTCTCTTAAAAATGATGTCATCCTTATTCCACAGATCACTCAGAACAGAATATGAACACTTTGGTCTGCATATCGTGCTCATTCTACAGAGTTTGCTGCAGCCTGTTCACTCACAGTTACTTACTTCTCTGTGATTTCAGAATCCACAGTATATTTTTTCATTTTTTTGGTTGGTTGGGTTTTCGTTTTGTATTTTAAGTGGAAACCCCTGTCAGATAATTTATAGTCCTAAACACTGTTTCAAAGTCTGCTGCTAGGACATGAGGAAAATACATAGAAGAATTCAGTGTATGCAGCCTTCAAGCATGTGATGGTTTGTCACAACATCAGCCAACTACAGTTCACACATTCCGTTCAGGTTCATATAATTAGCGAGCTGCAGAAGCAGAACTAAACATTACTTGTCAATGTACAAAGGGAACTGTGAGAGCACAGGAGTTACATGTAAATGTGAAGTTTTGGAGCATCAGTAATGAAGCAGGAAACAAAACAATCTCCTTCCTTTATAGTATCGATGAAGATAAAAATACTAGTGAAAATGCAGCTAATCTGTTGGTATTTCTTTTTCTGTTGTTGTTCTTTTAAAAAACTTTGATTAGTGATGCCCAGTCAGTAGTAATTAATTTGTGAATGTTAATTGAAAAGGCTGGTGTACAATTACTAAGTTTTTTAAATACTGTTTTTCTGCAGGACCAAGAACTGTTTTTCTTCCATGAGCTCAGCCCTGGTAGTTGTTTTTTCTTGCCAAAAGGAGCTTACATTTATAACACGTTAATTGAATTCATCCGGGTAAGTAATGTCTTTTGGAAATCTTATAGAAGAAATTGCTTAATTTTAGAAAAATGCATAGCAGCATGCCACATATAATAGTATAAACTAACTTAAATGGAAGGGCTGTTAAGTCTCTTAGTTCTGTAAGCCACGAAACTAAAGAAACCTGGTTTCTTTGAATTGGTCTTGTCACAATCTCTGCTAAGTTATATTTTTATCAATACTTTATGCCTTCAATTAAAGCAGCCATAATGATGCTTTATAATATGAATTCTTTGACAGCTAATCATACAGCTAAGCTCACACTACAGCAGTTTCACTGATGCGTATTGATTTGTTTTTATAAACTTATTAAATTTGGTCTTGCAGAACCATTTGTTATGCAATTATGCGTAGGAAAAAACCAACCATGATCTTCCTGTTGTAATATTTAAAGTCTGTCTTATTACTGTATATTTGGACTGCAGTGCACTCTCAAGTGTCACTGAATAATTAGAGACTGCTGCTTTGCTTGCAGGGAGGAAACTTGTTCTTCTTGCTTAGTACAGAGAAATAGTTTGGCAGAAGGGTGGTGCTGGTGGAAGGGATGTATTCTGGCATGTCTAACTTGAATTCTTCTCCTCCTCGAGTCAGACTTTTGTAGGGCAGCATCCGTGTATTTGTATGGCTGCAGTTTCATGGCTGAGTATCATTGCTTTTGTTTGCTTTATTAGTTATTTTATGTACTGCATCTGTTGTTTTAGAGTGAGTATCGAAAATGGGGATTCCAGGAGGTTGTCACTCCAAATGTTTTCAACAGCAAACTATGGATGACTTCAGGGCACTGGCAGCATTACAGTGACAACATGTTTTCCTTTGAAGTGGAGAAAGAAATCTTCGCTCTGAAGCCTATGAACTGTCCAGGACACTGGTAAATACATAGCAGATCCAGCTTACCACAGATGATGCTCATTTTAAAAAAAAATAGGTGTTTCTTTTGCCTGCTTAATTGTAAAGATAGTTATCTTCAGGTATTGAGATGTGACATGCTGTCAGGAGTTATGTAATTATCAGTTGTGGTCTACATGCTCTCTTTACATGAGACACTGAGAAAATTCATTTTTCTATCATTACAGTGACTGTTTTAGATCTGAAGCTTACCTTGGTACTACAAAACCTGGGTGTCTGAAATAGATACTGGGGCATTGTCCATATTGTGGCAATTTAGGCATTCAGGTTTTAATGCTGTTTTTAGGAGCTGTTTAGTCTTTGCTCTGTGAAGTGGGGAAGGCCTACCACCTATAAAAGGATATCTGCACTTCTGCTGGATGTAAATGATAGCTGTATTCAGATTAAATCACTGGCATTATGGGCATCTGCTTAGGTACTGGCTGCTACTCATTGGCTGTTCTTTGCAGAACTTTGATTCTGGATGAGCTTCATGTAATAAACTTTTCCTTCAGCCTTATGTTTGATCATCGCCCAAGATCATGGCGTGAGCTGCCATTACGGTTGGCTGATTTTGGTGTTCTGCATCGCAATGAGCTGTCAGGAGCTCTTACAGGACTCACTCGAGTACGCCGGTTCCAGCAGGATGATGCTCACATATTCTGTGCTATGGAGCAGGTATGGGCTGCAGTTAAATGAAATTGGGTATTAAAGTTAGATTAACTGAATTTTCCATATTTGAGATTTTATTTCTGTCCTCATAAAGATTGAAGAGGAGATAAAGAGTTGTCTGCAGTTCTTGCGTACTGTGTATGATGTCTTTGGATTTTCCTTTAAACTGAATCTCTCCACTCGTCCTGAAAAGTTCCTGGGAGATATTGAAGTGTGGAATCAAGCTGAAAAGGTAAACAGTAGTTTTATTAACTTTTCATATGAAAACAAGGCTGCGGCTGCAAGTCCTGTAAGAACATATAATGCCGTCTGGGAGGTACAGTGGCAGCAGGACATGACCAATATAACTTTAATTACCATCTTCAGTCTGGCTGCTGTAAATAACTTACTCACCATACAGAAGCCATCTCCATGTCAGAATCAAATTAGGTCTCTGTCCTTGTATTTTCTGATGATTAAAAAAAAATAAAAGCAAACCTGAGGAATAGAACCAGTTCTCGCAGCCCTTGTAGTAAGATGTAGAGCCATCTTCCAAAAGCCAGGTTGCTTTCATTATTAAAGGAATGCAGTTATCCCCTGCAGGTACAGTGCTGGGGAGAAGATGGGGCAGGAATAGATATTAGGTGTATTAGGGTATATGCCCTGTCGTTGTTATGCCCTGTCGTTGTTATCTACAAACTTTGAATCAGCGTAGAAGTATGCATCTTCCAAGGTAAATGCATTAAATTCGTTTGTTTTAATTTGGACTTTTTTTATCTGGGGCTTTTCCAAACCTTTCATTTTTCAGAAAATAAATGAGTTGCGGCAGTAACTGAGAAGTGCTGAAAATTTGGTAGTGTCACATATCTGCAGTAGCAGGCTGACCTGATTCTGTAACATGCAAAGACAGTAAATGATTGAGAAACACTGCGTGTATTTGTTCTTTATCTCTAGCAACTCGAAAACAGTCTCAATGACTTTGGTGAGAAGTGGGAGTTGAACCCTGGCGATGGAGCTTTCTATGGACCTAAGGTTAGTATGTTGCTAACCCCTAGCCGAGTTAGGCTTTTAATTCTGTTTGGATAAGGCAAAGAGCTGGGATTAGGAAGATGCCTTTTTTTTTTATGTATAGTCTTCTATTACCATTTTAAGATGCTGTCTGGCTGAAATTTTGTGGTTTTCCAGATCCATAAACTCTGACATACTTAAGAGAGAAATACTGCTTTGTGATCCTGGTTTTCACAGAGCTTTAACACTCATTTCATTAATTAAATTAAATAAATAATGTAAATTAATTCATTTACATGTATAAACTGCCTGCTGCTTCAACAGTTGATGGTTTAGTATGAGACAGGAACAGAAGGTGGCACTGTAAGATCGGTATTACCAGAGCAATTCCTGCATTAGAAATAATTTTCTGAGTGATAATGAATCCTAAGTCATGAGAAAAACAACAATTAACTTACTGGTTAAACAAATTTTTGAAAAATGTTGCTTTTACTGGCACAATTTCGTAGCTGCATTGAGTTGCTGGTGAGTTCTGGTATTTTTAAAAGCCTGTTGCATTGGTTTTGTGATTTTCTTGGGTTTTTTTAAAGCTGTCTCCTCAATTTGCACAGATTAGGGCTTTCTAGAAATTTCCTGATATCTTTAATATAAGGACAGAGTGCCTTACAAAATTACTTGTACATCTTTCCTTAATAAACCTACACTACATTTATGTCTATATTCAGTCAGCTGGTTTTGATTTCTCTCTCTATATGCTAATTGAATAAATTTCATTTTATGGGTTGTAGGTGAAATGTGTTATAGCAGCTAATTATTCATAATGTGAAATGCAAACAAGATTTAGTAACTTCCTCGGTTGATTTGAAAGAAAGCAAATAAATACAGGAACCTTTGTTGAATTTAATTAACCTTATACTTGCTCCTCATACACTCTAGCCAAAGTAAGGTGAGGAAACGAAGCATTGTGCACTGGTTTTAATGGAAACCAGAGAAATGGAAGTTAAAGTTATATTTTTTAAGTTAAGCCTGTTAATTACTTATAAATGTTTTATTTTCATAGAAGCTCATTGGTGACTAGCTGAAGTATGATAAACTCTGACTCCTGAATGCAAAGTAGAAAGACATCTAGAACCTCAGCCAATAAAACACTTAGTTTGATACATAAATTAAAGCACACAGCCCCAGCATATAGCCATGCTGGTAAAATGATGAATGAGTAATGTGATAGATAAATAAAAAAGGTCAGGACACTATAAATCTGCTGTTTTCTGTCTGTCTAACTTGTATCATAAGCGTACTCAGGTTTAAAGTGTAAGATGCAATAGAAAGAATAGACTTGACTGTAGATACTTATAGTCAGAACAAGTGTTACTGATATAATGATCCCTACTGGTAAGTGAACTGTTTGACAGCAGGATTCTCATCCCATGTTCATGGCCTGAATTTGTAACATAAGGTATGAAGTATTCAAGTACTGATTAATAAAAGAGTATAGGTTTGCCAGTTTGAGGTTGAGGAAATCTCATTTCTGGGGAGACGTGTTCAGTTCTGGTCTTGCAATTGCACTTCCATCCTCCTGAATTGACCCAATGAAAAGGCTTATGAAAGTCCCAGATTGAAACTCAAAAAAAGCAGTGAAGTATTAGAGGTAGTTCCTCCCTGAAGTAACGTCTCTCTACTTGCTTATGCCGTTTTTAGCTCTAACATTTTTTGCATAAGAACCTGCAAATCATTTAAATATTTATGTAGGCTGAAGCCAAGCTGTGTTGTCTTAAACCACACATAGTTCCTGTGCATTTAGTGAAACCTTCCATCTTGAAACAATGAGTTTGCTTTGAGGGGCATGTTGTAGTAAAAGTTTCTGTCTTTTTGTTTCTAAGATTGACATTCAGATTAAAGATGCCATTGGCCGCTACCACCAGTGTGCTACAATCCAGCTCGACTTTCAGCTGCCAGTCAGGTTTAACCTCACCTTTGTCAGGTAAGCACAGAGGCTGTTGGTTTTAATTGCTATATAACTTTCCTGTCATTTGCAGACATAAGTTTATACCAAGAAAAAAACCCCACATAAAAAACCAAAAAACTTTCTTCACAGCCACGATGGTAATGACAAGACAAGACCAGTTATCATTCACCGGGCTATCTTGGGATCTGTGGAGAGAATGATTGCCATTCTAACAGAAAACTATGGAGGGAAATGGTAATGTTGGAAAGTAGATTTATCATTCCACTTTAAGCAAACACTTTATGTAGAAGAGAAATTAGCCCCAAGCATGCAAGAATCAAGAGGTTTCATTCTACTTGCTTGCTACAGAGATGTGCTGTAGGATTAGCACAGGGCAATTCCTTCTGAACAACCTTCCTTAGATATTAATTCTAGATGAGGTAGTCTCTGCGTGATACTGCTTGTGCAGGTGCATCGTACAGCCTGTCTGCCCAAGGCATGTGTCTCTCAGCTTCATGTTTGCAGCTGGACTGCTTTGCAAAGAGTTGTTTGTGTAGGTAATCTCCTTTAACTACTGCAGTGTAACACCTGATGGGGATGACCCCTCTGATTATAACAAGACTCAAATATTTTTCCTTGATTAGTTAGTAATAAGCTCAACAACTTAATTATCGTTTGTTGTCTGTTGTAAAACACAACTAAAAAGTACCTTTGTCCATGCTGCAGTTCTTTTAGGCACAGAGTTCTTTTTGGGAGGTAAATTGTAATGAGTATAGGGCTATCATCATCTCTGAATCCAATCTAAGCAGCTGGCTTTATGAATCTCCTATGCCGATTTTAGTCCTATCTGTTAAGAGACTTTTTCATACTAAAAAAAGTACTGAAAGCTATCTAAGCTTGTTTTGTTTGTTTACTGAAGGCCGCTCTGGCTGTCCCCACAGCAAGTAATGGTGGTACCAGTGGGACCAACATGTGATGACTATGCTCAAAAGGTGATGTATATGGTTTGGGGGCTTTTTATTCCAATATATTGCATTTAGTTGAGATACCTGGTTATTAATTATTCATGATATTTTTTCCAGATAAGTGTTAGCAGTCTTTGCATATTAAATGTTACCATTTTTATATTACAGTGACAATTTGCGGCTGAAGTTGTAGCTGTATTTTAAAGAGGAGCTGAAGTAGATTTTGGGTATCTAAACAACAAATGCTGATCTTTGTGAGGCTTATTTTTTTAAAAAAATAGTTTTTCTCTCTAGCTTGTCTTGTCAAGTTGTCTTGTCCTTCAGCTTCTAGTTTCCCATGGTCTTGTGCATCTTGCAAAAGCAGTAAGAAAAATGAAGATGGGTTTTTGCCTATTTAGTATCCAGCAGACCTTCTCCTGCTTCAGGCACACTACAGATAAATAAAATAGTCTGAAATAAATTTTTAAAAATCCTTTCTAATCTGAAAGCTCCACCATCCTGCTGCCATTCACAGTATTGAACTCAAATCACTGTTCAGCCCAAAACATTAGATGTTCACATGACTGCTTCGTTATTTAGTGTGTATGTACTTGCATGATAGCTGACCTGTTTCCATGTCTTGAACTGGGCTCATCTCCAATGCCTGAGCCAATGATGGTGCCTTTGTTTTAGGGGTCAGATAAGCCTGACTGGCTTAAGTCTGCAAGTCATAAATAGTTCATTGTCATGGAGTACTGCATCCAGTTCTGGGGCCCCAAATATAAGAAGGACATTGAGTTGTTGGAATGGGTCCAGAGGAGGGCCACAAAGATGGTCGGGGACTGGAACATCTTCCCTACAAGGACCAGTTGAGAGAGTTGGGTCTATTCAGCCTGGAGAGAAGGCTCTGGGAGGACCTTATTGCTGCCTTCCAGTACCTGGAGGGTAGCCCCTGAAGGGGTCCTACAAGAAAGCTGGGGAGGGACTTTTTATAAGAACAGGTAGCGATAGAACGAGGGGGAATGGTTTTAAACTGGAAGGGTGCAGATGTAGACTAGATACTGGGAAGAAGTTCTTTACTGTGAGGGTGGTGAGACACTGGCACAGGTTGCCCAGGGAAGTTGTGGATGCCTCCTCCCTGGCAGTGTTCAAGGCCAGGTTGGACAGGGCTTTGGGCAACCTGGTGTCATGGGAGGTGTCCCTGCCCATGGCAGGGGTTGGACCAGATGGTTTTTAAGGTCTCTTCCAACCCAAACCATTCTATGATTCTATGAATATCCTATATGACAGTTTAAATACTTTTTCTGCTAGGTCAGGCAGTACTTCCATGATGCTGGATTAATGGCAGATGTTGACGTAGATCCTGGGTGCACACTGAACAAGAAGATCAGAAATGCTCAGCTTGCCCAGTATAACTTTATTCTTGGTAATGTATAGTGCATTTGTTCCCTTATCCTGGCTGACTTTCTTGCATAAGGATTTGATCTTTCTTCTGTGAGCAAGACAGAGTTACAGTCAATGTTTTAGGTCACTTTGCTCCTAAGAGTTTCCATTCCAGAGAGCCTCTTCTGCCTGCATGATAGGCATTTCTGGTGTGTATTGCTTCACTGAAAGGTCACTGTGGCCCAAGGTATTACTGCTGCTTTAGGAAAGGTCTTTGCTGTCTTCTGGTCAGCAATGTAGAGACATATGTAAAATCTCTTGCCCTTTGTCAGATTGTTAATTGTTCTTTCCATCACCCTCAATAATTAATGCTCTTGTTTTAAGTGTAGTGAAAGTACCACCATATTTTCACTGCATTTAGCTGTGGTGCATTTCTGAACTGTACATCCATGCATAGAAGATGACTATTCCATGAGAGGGTGATGCAGGGACAATTAAAAACTGACCCTGAAGTATGTGTTTTGAAGCAGCACGTTAGTCATGTCATGTAAATTGAGGCTTTAGCATTGACCCTAAAACTGTCTGGGATCCATTAGAGCAGAAGGAGTCTTGGACAGAGAAACTCTACCCTCACAGTAATTGACATAATAATAAATGAATTCTTTTGTTCTTTAAAACTTTAAGCATATGATACAGATAAGACACAACCACATTTTGGCTTCAAGACCACCAACAAATAAGCATCCTATCAGGGAAAAAAAATCTCACCCAGAGGCTGTTTCAAGAGAGCTGTCCCACTAAATACAGATTGGGTATCAGAAAAGTACAATCCCCTGTACCAACTTCCAATTACATAAAATTTGTATTAGCAATGAGACATACATATATTATCTTCGTACTTGTATCTTAATGTTTGAATTAAACAGCTTTTGGATCTTGCATTAAACTGTCTTGCTGTCTCTGTAAAGAAAACAAATGGTTATTTACAGTCAAGTTGTCTTTCTCATCCTTGCCCATGGAGTACTCCATGTTTATTTCTGAATTGGACTTTGTAAGTCAAGCTGGACTTTTTTGCTAAGTTGCTGTTCGTAACTTCTAAAACCTATTAAATTAAGATTAAATACGGCTATTGGCTGTTACAGATCTGAGGTGGGGGGGGAGCTGGGAGGACGGAATAGAAGGATTTGATGTGTTTAGTGGTAAGCTGTTTAGTGTTTTTGTTTAGCATGCCTAAGTTTTAAAGGAATGGGGGGAAAGAGCTTGCTAAATGTTAAGTTCATTACTTTGCATCTTGGTTTTTTTTCAGTTGTTGGTGAGAAGGAGAAGGCAAGCGGAACAGTTAACATCCGCACCCGAGATAACAAGGTGCATGGTGAGCGTACAATTGCAGACACTGTTAGGAGACTGCTGGAACTGAAATGCTCTCGCTCCAGACAAGCTGAAGAGGAATTTTAACACCCATCTGCTCTACCTGGCATAAAAAAAGATTCTAATTTTCCTAATTCAGTTAACCACAAAGTTTCTGTGCTGAACCAGATTTGAAATATATTTCACATTGTACCTCTTGCTCATTTTAGCAGAAATTTTTCTGTAGTCAGAAATGTCTTTTTTAAAAATCAGTTTTTCACAAAGTAAACTTTCCTGGCCTTTGACCAATGACAGATGAAGCAAGACGAAATTACTTTCTGTGACTTCAAGGGAAAATGGAAATACTAATCGGGGATACTCATAGCATTCTAACTATCCTGATAAGAATAAACCACATTTTGATAACAAATCTTTTTCACTAAGAAGTTAAACAAAAGACCTCAGGCTTAAGAAACCACATGGTAACCATGTGCTGCAGCAGGTTTTCAAAAGTTATACCTAGCAGTCTTGTCTGCTGGCCTTACACTAGTTAATTATGTTGACTCTGAAGAGTCCCCAGTAAAGTGGACAGGGTAATGAACAGAGGTCAAACCACATTTTGATAACAAATCTTTTTCACTAAGAAGTTAAACAAAAGACCTCAGGCTTAAGAAACCACATGGTAACCATGTGCTGCAGCAGGTTTTCAAAAGTTATACCTAGCAGTCTTGTCTGCTGGCCTTACACTAGTTAATTATGTTGACTCTGAAGAGTCCCCAGTAAAGTGGACAGGGTAATGAACAGAGGTCTCCCACTTCCATTGTGGCTGGGGCCTCCGGGGGGGGCCCACCTCTTACTCTGACCCCCCTGCCACAGAGCACTGAGCTGCTAACAAAAGCCAAGTATACCCTTTTCAAGAGGCTGTATCTGAAATGTGCTGGCTGTAAGGGTAAGGTCATTGTAGCTGTATAAAGGGGATAGCACTGCCTGGAAGAGGCAGGCCACAGTAGGGTCAAAGAAGCAGCTCAGAAAACCAGGATTCTTGGGAGCAGAGTGTTTCTGTTCTTGTCCCTGAGCTGTCCTTTCAGTTAGGCTGTGTATGTCACAGCAGAAACAAGAATGTACCGGACTAGTAAGTGTAATTACTATTTTTTAAGACAAATACTTTTTTGTCATTTAATCTAGTCCCCTTTAGTGGAACCCTTCTTTCCCAAGCCTCTAGTCCAGGGTGTGACATACTCAATTAGCAGCCCCTCGTATCTCACGGTTGCTTTTGGGTTTGGGTTATTTTCTTTTTTGACATCTGACTGACAAGAGGTAAATGTCTATCACAAACAAAAAATAAAATAATGGTCTGCATTTTTTTCTTTCTTTCTTTATTTATTTGTTAACTGACCTGAACAGCTTCCAGAGGTGGTTGCTAACTGTTTCTTTAAACAGAAAGCTATTGCTACAGCTTCAGCAAAGATCAGATAAATCTGAGGACAGGTTTGAATGATCCCATCTTGAAAACCTCCAAGTCTTACCCTTTGCTTTATTACCTGGGCAGAAGCATTTAATTTAGCCTTTTCTCGCTTATCTTTCTTGCTTATCTTTCTCAGGGGTGGTGGTAACACTATATCAGCACTTTCAGTCTCCCCCAGACTATAACCCCAGCAACTTTCAGCAAAATCTATTTCTCCTTTGGTTCATTCAAACTAAAGACTCCATCTAACTGCCTTGAGGAAAAAAAAAAAGGGGGGTAAATTGCCTTGCTGCTTTCAAAATTATTTCAGTGAGAGTTAAGTGGGTTATTTCTATGTTTTGCACCTGCTTTACTTTGTTGTAAAGTGACTGATGCTTATGCAGAACAGCAGAAGCAGATGTTGGCTATCCCTGGGGCAGAAGGACTTCATCAAATGTTGATGCAAACCCAGAGCAGATACCAGGGCGAAGGAGCCACCAGCTCTAAGGAATTTCTAGGAATCCTGCCTCAAACCACCTTTCCACTAGGCCAGTGTATTTGTTAATTTTCACAGAGAGTTCTGCTTTTTTGCTTTGCAGAGATCCTTAGGCCCACTAACATTAAACTTAGATCATGCTTTTAAATACCTCTATAACAATGTACATGTACGTATGTGAACACGTTACTAGAAACAACACCTAAGAGTACAATCCAACTCCAGCAGGGTGTGGACAGAACTGAGGTGCCTACATCCAAACAGTGATGAGGGCAAGGCTGCACTCATGTGACAGCTAAACTCAAGCTCTCTTGCTCTTTTAATTATTCAGCCATCGGTTTATGCAGAAGCAGAACTGGCTGGGCCCACACAGCACATCCTCCCTCTTGGTTCATCCAGAAGTCCTCTGAAGAGCAGCCTTTGGTCACTGCTTATCACCTGTGGTAGGACTTAGCTCCCAATAAAGTACTGTGCCGGTCTCCTAAGGCAGGAGGGCACAACTTGGGTGTCCGCTTGATGGTGGGACCACTTGTCAAGCAGGAGAGAGGCTGTTGTATCATTCTTTCCAGGCTCTGAGAAGGCTGAAAGCCACCTCTCCAGTTCTGCAGAGTGCTCTGTTTACCAGCATTAGGCAAGAGAAATAGAAAATGTTTGCCGCTTGGTTTTCAATCTCTATGTCCCTAGAGAGGTTTTCATGGTAATGTAGATCACCTCATCTTTACCACAGACTCCTCCGTGCCATTGGCATTTCCTGTGGAGCAGCTGCTAAGGTACAGCTCCAATTCTGCTTTACTTCACAGTAAGTTTGGTTTGCTCATACTTTAAAGCAGATTTCAAAGCAAATGGCTGAAGGAGACACACAGAATGACAGAGAAGACAAACAACTAACCTGATGGATCTTCCAAGTGTACACAAAAAAGGTCTGGCAGGAGTTTCTGTATTTGGACAGATCACTGTGCCAGCCTTCAGATTTCTGTGAGTTCTCATTCTGCAAACCCCTGAAAGACTCTGCAGGCCAAGAGACATCTGGACAGTGCCACAGCCCAGGGTAATTCCAGTAAGACTCTTCCTGTCACATATTAGGATTACATTCTTACAGTGGCTGATGCTGCTCACTCAGTTACACCACTGGGACAACGTGATGCAGATTCAGTATTCAGATGCTGTCATGTTATGTCAACTCCTCTAAAAGCAGTAAAGCATCAGCTCTGGGGAGAACCCAGCTGTAAGGTAAATTGTTAATTGGTGTAGGCACCTTTACACAGGCAGTCTTGCCCTCACTGTGTTTTTTTTCCCATTGCATCCAAACCCAGCCTATGCAAGCCCTTTGGTAAAAGAAAATCAGTTTGCCATGTCTGACTTCTCCCTTGTTAGAGTAAGCCAAAATTAAGGTGTCTTTGGTAACTCATTTCAGGCCTTCAGCTCATGTCCTGTGTAACTTCATGGTTGCCTTAGCCTTCTCCACCATTTCTTATTTGCCAGAACAGTCGGTTCTGGCAAACATCTAAGCAATGTGCTCTCAAATCAGATAATGGTAAACTGATACTATGAAAATTAAGTATCGCTAGAGGCTATACTTATTAAAAAAAAGCGCACACACTGCTTGGTACTTAAAGATTGTTTCCAAAATCACTCAGCCGTTTTTACACGCTAGTGTTTTCCATCTGTCTTGGACAGGAATAAACAACTTCACAGTTGTCTGGTCGCGGTCGGTGCCTTGTTAGCCACTGTGATTGAGTATGCTTATGCAGAATGAGTTACGTTTGGACTTGTATCAAAGTTCTTTCACATAGGACAGCCTCTGGAGCAAGGCATGTATTAACCTCTCCTGACAAATTACTACAAAGAACATGTGCTCAGATAAAGCTAGGGACATTTTGTAATGTTCTCAGACATTAAAGGTAAATCATCTGGGCTACACAATTAGATTCATTATCTATGATACCTATCCGACTCAAAACAAGAGCCTTCAACTGGATCTTCTGCAGACAGGAAAGCATGCTGAGATGCACAGAGGGCAGCTGTGAAAACTGGAAAAACCCCAACAACCAAACTGAAAGTGTACAGCATCCAGGAAAAAAAAAAAGAAAATATGTATCAGTCTTCTACAAGGCACTTGTTTATACCTATCTGTATTAAAAAATAAAGTAGTAAGAGACCACTAGAATGGAGGCACAACAGCTGAATCCATACTGCTTCATGAGACAGCCCCGGCTCCCCCAAATTCTTTGGAATTGCCTGGAGATCCCAGAGAGAAGCAGAATCAGGGACAAGAGAGTTGGCAAAGGGGAGCTGAGGTAAGGCAAGAAAGCGTGGGACAAAGACACAC